TTTGCTTATCTATAAAAATAAGGTTTATAATGGTCTTGCTCCTTAGAGATTTTCATGGGATTTAATTGCACCAATGTATTTATTTGAAAGTGTTTTGAAAGATATTTAAAGGGTTAAACAAATGTGAGGCATTATTTTAATTTATTAACTATGGGGAAACTGCTACATTTTGGGATAAATAATAGCTATCATTTAAAAAAAGTTTTATTTTGTTAACTGACGCATAATTACACGTATTTATGGGCTACTATATGATGTTTTGATACATGTATACATTGGGTGCTGATTAAATCAGGGCAATTAGCATATCCATCACCTCAAACACTTGTTATTTCTTTGTGGTGAGAATGTTCAAAGTTATTTTAGCCATTTTGAAATGTAAAGTAATTATTGTTAACCGTAGTCACCTTACTGTGTAATAGAACACCAGAACTTAACCCTCTTATCTAATGTAACTGTACCTGTTGACCTCTCTCCCTCTCCCTGCCTGACCTACTGAGCCTCTGGTACCACTGTTATACTCTTTACCTCTATGGGATCAACTTTTTAAGTTTTTACAGATCAGTGAGATCATGTGGTTTTTGCCTTTTGTGCTTGACTTATTTCACTTAATGTCTTGTGGGTTTATCCAGGTGCTGCAAATGACAGGATTTCATTTATTTTTATGGCTGAATAGTATTCCATTGTGTATATGTACCTCATTAAAAAAAAATCCATCCATCTGTTGATGGATACTTAGGTTGATTCTATATCTTGGCAATTGTGAATAATGCTGCAGTAAACATGGCAGTGCAGATATCTGTTTGACATACCAATTTCATTTCCTTAGGATGTAGAGGTTGAGTATCCCTAATCCAAAAATCTGAAATCCAGAATGCTCCAAAATCCAAAACTTTTTGAGCACTGACCTGATGCTTAGAGGATAATGCTCATTGTGCTATTTTGGATTTTGGATTTTTGGATTAGGGATGCTCAACTATAATGCAAATATTCCAAAATCAGGAAAAAAAAGTCTGAAATCAGAAATGCTCCTGATCTCAAGCATTTTGGGTGGGGGATACTCAATGTTTATATCCAGTAGTGGGATTATTGGATTTTATGGTAGTTCTATTTTTAGCTTGTTGGAAAACTTCTCTACTGTTGTCCTTAGTGGCGATACGAATTTACTTTTCTACTGTCTTGGTCTGTTTTGTGTGGCTATAAAGGAATACCAGAGGCTGGGTAATTTATAAAGAAAAGAGGTTTATTTGGCTCACATTTCTGCTGGCCGGCACCAGCATCTGCATCTGATGAGGGCCTCAGGCTGCTTCCACTCATGGCAGAGGTGAAAGGGAGCTGGTGTGTACAGATAGGATACAATGAGAAAATGAGCAATGGGGCAGGGAGATGCCAGGCTCATTTTCACAACCAGTACTAATGGGAATAGAGTGAGAAGTTACTCCTGAGGGAGGGCATCAGTCTGTTCATAAGGGGTCTGCCTCCATGACCCAAACACTTCCCATTAGGCCCCACCTCTGACACTGGGGATCAGATTTCAATATGAGGTTTGTGGGGATTAAACATCCAAATTATAACACCTACCAGCATTGTATAAGAGTTTCCCTTTTTCTGCATCCTTGCCAATGTTTGTAATTTTTTGTCTTTTTAATAATAGCTGTTCTGATGGGTGGTGTGATATCTCATTGTGATTTTGATTTGCCTTTTTCTGGTGATTAGTGGTGATGAGCATATTTTTCATATACCTGTTGCCATTTATGTGTTGTCTTTTGAGAAGTGTCTATCTAGATCTTTTGTTCATTTTAAAATGATACATATATTTTTTCTGTTGAGTTGAGTGTATCCTGGATGAGTCCCTTGTCAGATGCATAGTTTGTAAATATTTTCTACTATTCTGTGGATTGTCTCTTCACTTTGTTGTTTCCTTTGTTGTACAGAAGCTTTTTAGTTTGATATAATCCTATTTGTCTATGTTTGCTTTTGTTCTCTGTGCTTTTGAGCTCTTACCCAACAAGTCCTTTCCAGACCAATGTCTTGAAGCATTTCACCTAAGTTTTCTTCAAGTAGTTTCATAGTTTCAGGTCTTACATTTAAGTCTGTATTTTGAGTTGATTTTTCTAAGTGGATAGAGATAAGGATCTAGTTTCATTTTTCTCCATGTGAATATTCAGTTTTCCAAGTACCATTTATCGAAGGGACTGTTCTTTCCCCACTATGTATTCTTGATGCCTTTGCCAAAAATCATGTGTGGATTTATTTCTGGGCTCTTGATTCTGTTGAACTATCTAAAAAAGAAATAAAGAAGGTAATACATTTACAGTAGCTATTAAAAAAACAACTAGCAGTAAATTTAACTGAGGAGGTAAAGATCTCTGTGATGAAAACTATAAGATATTGATGAAAAAAATGGAAGGAGACATAAATAAATGCAAAGAATATCCCTTGCTATGTAACCGGAGAATAAATATTGTTAAAATGTTTATGCTATCTAAAGTCATCTACAGATTCAATGCAATCCTTATCAAAACACCAGTGACATTTTTCACAGAAATAGAAAAAAAAATTCTAAAATTTCTGTGGAAACACAGAAGACCCAGAGTAGCCAAAGCATATTTGAGCAAAAAAAGCAAATCTGGAGGCATTACATAACCGGATTTCAAAATATACTACAAAGCAGTAGTAACCAAACAGCATGGTACCGGCATAAAAACAAACACAGACAAATGGGACAGAATCTATCATTTATTGAGGATTTACTTTGTGCCAGACACTGTTCTAAGTGCTTTATCAACATTACATAATTTAATCATAATAGTCTTATGAAGGGTAGTGTTACTATCTCTGTTTTGTATATGAGGAAATTAAGACATAAAGAATTAATGAACCAGCCCAAGGTCAGCTATCTAGTAAGTAGTTGAACTGGAGTTGGAATGCACTTAAAAAATTGTGGTGAAATATGCAAAACATAAAATAATCATTGTAACCATTTTAAACTCTATAGCTCTGTGACATTAAGTATATTCACATTATTGTGCAGCCATTAACACCATCCATCTCTAAAACTTTTTCATCTTGGCAAACCAAAACTCTGTACTGACTAAATACTAATTCCCTATTCTCCCATCCCCAGCCCCTGGCAACCACCTTTCTACTTTTTCTCTATGGGTTTAACTCCTCTAGGAGCCTCATATAAGAGGAATCATACAATATTTATCTTTTTTGTGGCTGGCTTATTTCACTTAGCATAATGTCTTCAAGGTTCATTCATGTTGTAGCATATATTGAAATTCCTTATTTCTTAAGACTGAATAATATTCCATTGTGTATATGTACATTTCATTTATCCATCTATCTGTTGGTAGACACGTGGGTTACTTCTACCTCTTGGCTATTGTTAATGGTGTTGCTATGAACATGAGTGTACAACTATCTCTTAAAGACCCTCCTTTCACTTCTTTTTGGTGTCTACCCAGAAGTAGACCTGCTGGGTCATGTGGTAATTTTATGTTTAATTTTTGGAGGAACTACCATATTTTTGCCATAGTGGCTGCATCATTTTACATATCATCAGGGCACAAGAGTCCTAATTTCTCTGCATCCTTGCTAACACTTGTTATTTTGTTTTTTTTTTCTTTTCTCTTTTTTCTTTTTCTTTTTTTGAGACAGAGTCTGACTCTGTCACTCAGATTGAAGTGCAGTGGCATGATCTTGGCTCCCTGCAGCCTCCATCTTCCAGGTTCAAGTGATTCTCTTGCCACAGCTTCCTGAGTAGCTGGGATTATATGTGTGTACCATCATGCCTGGCTAATTTTTGTATTTTTAGTAGAGATGAGGTTTCACCATGTTGGCCAGGCTGGTCTAGAATTCCTGACCTCAAGTGATCTCTCAGCCTCCCAAAGTGCTTGGATTACCGGTATGAGCCCACCGTGCCTAGCCTCTTCTTTTTTTTCTTTCTTTCTTTATTTAATAAAAGCCATCCCAGTGGGTGTGAAGTAGTATTCACTCTGGTTTTGTGTTTCCCTAGTGTCTAGTGATGTTGAGTATGTTTTCATGTACTTATTGGTCATTTCTATATCCTCTTTGGAAAATGGCTCTTTAAGTCATTCGTCCATTTTTAAATTGGGTTGTTTGGTTTTCGTTGTTGTTGAGTTGTAGGAGTTTTAAAAGTATATTCTGGATATTAGTCTCTTATCAGATTTACAAATACTGTTTTCCGTTCTGTGAGTTGACTTTTCACTCTGTAGATAGTGTCCTTTGATGCACAGGAGTTTTTAATTTTGATAAAGTCCAGCATGTCTGTTTTTTTCTTTTGATACTTGTGTTTTTTGGTGTCATATCCAAGAAATTGTTGTCAAATCCAATCTCAAGAAACGTATTTTCTTCTAAGCTTTATTTCTGTCTCTGTTTGTGCCTCTTTTCTCAGTGTTAGTTTGAGTCTTTGTTTGTATCTGTTTTCGTATGTCTGTATCTCTCTTTATGTCTTTTTCTATATATTTATAAACCATCGAAATGTACATGTGTTATCTCTTTTTTCTTGCCTTATTTCTTCGTTTTCCTTTTTTTTTTTTTTTTTGTAGAACTCTTCGAAAGTATTGCAGAAATCATGACACTGCATGTATTTCCTAAAGATAATTGCATCTTTCTAAACTATAATCAGTACTGCTTTTAGAATCGGGCACACAGGGCCCCTGTCTTGTGCTCTCTACTTTGGAGTGCCTTTATTGAATTTTCCTAAGTCTCCCCTCTGCCTCAATGCCCGACAGTCAGGGCGCCTCAAACTCTTCTCTTTAGGAATCTCATATTTAGAATTATAGTAAATTTCCTAATTAAATTGAAAGTTAAAGCCTAACTTTTTTTTTTTGTTTTGCTGATCTTATTCATTATTATGTATCGTATTTTTCTTCTAAATTTTTTAAATTATCTTTATGTATTTCTTCAACTGATTAGTGTGTACATATTTAGTATTGTAGTCATTAATTACCTTTATTCTTCTGTCTCTCCAGTACCGAATTGAAACTCTTGGAGGAAGCAACCATTTCAGTCTGCAGGTCACTAGGTAAGTGGGAAAAACGTGTTTGTGTATGTGAGTGGGGACATTGTTTTCAAATTTTGTTTTAGATTTTGACAGTGTAATGTGAATTGAATTAATGCAGTAATTTTTCTTCTTTGATAGCAATAGTAATATTTTTTTCTGTTTGTGGCATTCACAGATGCTGCTAGAAGGTACCCTTCAGTCAATAGCAATAAGACACATTCTTGGCTATATCTGCAGTAGTGGTAATGGACTCTGCTAAGCCATAGACACTCTTTGCTCTTTTTGTGAATTTTGAAATACTCAAAAAAAACGCTTGAACCCGGGAGGCAGAGGTTGCGGTGAGCCAAGACCATGCCACTGCACTCCAGCCTGGGTGACAGAGCAAGACAAAAAAAAAAAAAAAAAAAAAAAATTAGGTTAGTTTTGTAGTTGCCTGGATAATTCATGTAGCTAAGACAGGACCATTCGTTTTGTGATTTACCAATTGCTGTTATTGTTACTACTATTACTATTACAATTTACCAATTGCTGTTATTGTTATTACTAATAAGTAATTATCACCAGAATAATTATTACTTATTAAAATATATTAGAAATATATATTAGGAGCTTCTATAACAACTTAGTATTATGGTAAAGAGCATGGAATCCAGAATCATTTTATGATTTTAATTTCAGTTGTGCTACTTATTAGCTGAACCTTAATTGCCTCATGTAAATTGATGATAAGAACAACTATTTACAGGGTTCTTATGAGGAAAAACTAGGTAATAAGAAATACTCAGTACAATGTGTGGCGTGTAGTTATTTCAAATCATTTGAATCAACAACTATTACCTTTTTCAGGCCTTGTTTCTCAAATGCTTAACTTTCAAGTTGGTAGCAATTAGAAGGAAATTGTATATATTTTTAAAATGCAAGCAGTTAGATTGTGTTGGTGCTTTGGAAATGAAAGATAATGTGTCTGTAAAATACCTAGTGTACGGGAGTGTAAAGTGAGAACAATATTCTGTTTTAAAATCGAGCTATGTAGGCTGGATGTGATGGCTTATGCCTGTAATCCCAGCACTTTGGGAGGCTGAGGTGGTGGATCACAAGGTCAGGAGTTCAAGACCAGCCTGGCCAAGATGGTGAAACCCCATCTCTACTAAAAATACAAAAATTAGCCAGGCATGGTGGTAGGTGCCTGTAATCCCAGCTACTCTAGAGGCTGAGGCAGAGAAATTGCTTGAACCCGGGAGGCAGAGGTTGCAGTGAGCCAAGATCGCACCACTGCATTCCAGCCTGGGCGATAGAGCAAGATTCCATCTCAAAAAATAAATAAATAAATAAAATCGAGCTATATGGATAATTACCATATACGCTATTTTGCTAAAAACAGTTTTTGGTTTTTTTTTTTTTTTTTAAAGAGATAGAGTCTTGCTTTGTTGCCCAGGCTGGAGTACACTGGTGCCATCATGGCTCACTGCAGCCTTGACCTCCTGGGCTTTAGTGATCCTCCCACCTCAGCCTCCTGAGAAGCTGGGGCTACAGGTGTATGGCACAACACCTGCCTGGTGATTTTATTTTATTTTTTGTAGAGATGGGGGTCTCCTCTGTTGCTGAGGCTAGTCTCAGGCTACTGGCCTCATGCCATCCTCCTCCTGCCTTGGACTCCCAAAGTGTTGGGATATTACAGGCATAAGCCACTGTGCCCAGGCCCAAATATTTTTGTTTTTAAAAAACAAACTATGTTGATAATGATAAAACTGTTATTGTAGTAGTTGCCTTGCCTTGCAACCATAGCTTAGGAAATGTTTTGCTAAGTAGAGCTGGCTTTCAAAAGCCATGTGGCAGTTCATTGCTGAAAATTAAGGAGTTTTATGTAACAATGTTATTAGTGTAGTTACTGTGATAATGGCTTTTAAGGTGACTTTGGGTTTTTATAAAAATTAAAAAATTAAAAGAAAAATAGAGAAATATAACAAAATAAAGAAAACAATGAAATAACAAAGAAAATTACATTAAGAAAACTGAAATTAGCTGGGAGTGGTGGCTCATGCCTATAATCCTGGTAACTTAGGAGGCTGAAGCAGGAGGGTTGGTTGAGGTCAGAGTTCAAGACCAGCTTGGGCAACATAATAAGACCCCATCTCTACACACAAAATATGAAAAACTTAGCCAGGCATGATGGCACCTTCTGTAGTCTCAGCTCCTAGGGATACTGAGGCAGGAGGATTGATTGAGCCCAGGAATTTGAGGCTGCAGGGATCCATGATGGTGCCACTACACTCCAGTCTGGACAATAGAGCAAGACTCCAAATCTAGGGGTGAAAAAAAGCAACTAATATTTACCCATTATGTATAATGTGAAAAGCATACTAAAATGTAAACAAGGTAGTAATTGCTCATAATTTGAAAACCCTGACATAGCCATTATTAATATTTTTATATTTTGTCTTCTACTACTTATTCAATGGATATAAGTTTATATATATCATCCAACACACACACACACACACACACACTTAATCTGTGTTTTTCACTTGACATTGTATCAGGAATGTATTATGTGTTTAAAAATACTTTCAGGAACAGCAAAAAGAGATACACATTTATTGTCCAAAATTCCTGTAATATGATGGTATGGCTAAAATAAAAATCATCTCATATTAAACAGTACATATGTAATGACTGCTAATCTTTTGTGAGAATTTTATGTAAATGGTATTATTTATATGTTGTTTGCACTCAGCCGCATATCAGGAGCTTCTTTTCACATCAATAAGTATAAGTGCTTGTCAACTTTAAGGGCTATGTGAGTATGCTAAGTTTCCTCTTTGAAAATATAATACTTTTTTTAAAGTGCTAGTTTGCTGGCAACAATTTTCTCTCTTTCCTTTTTGTTTGTCTAAAAATGTTCTATTTTTTTCTTCACTTTTGAAGTGTATGCTTGCTGGATATAGAATTTTAAGTAGACATTAATTTCTTTTCCATACTTTAAAGGTGTCCTTTTGTTATTTTCCAGCTTTTCTTATTTTTGTTGTGAAGAAAGCTGTCAACCTTATTGTTACTTCTTTGAAAATAATGGAATTTTAAACGTCTGGCTACTTTATTTATTTACTTATTTTTTCCCATTTATTTATTTTATTGCATTTTAGGTTTTGGGGTACAGGTGAAGAACATGCAAAATTGTTGCATAGGTACACACCTGGCAGTGTGATTTGCTGCCTTCCTCCCCATCACCTACATCTGGCATTTCTCCCCTTGCTAGCTCTCCCCAGCTCCCCACCCCCCACCGTCCCTCCCCTACTTCCCCCCAAC